AAAAACCGCTCGCACCTAAGGTGACCCGCCCGCCCGCGCGCGTGCGCGGAAGGACACTCCTTCCTCCTCCCCCCCCCACCCCCGTCCGCCCTTCCCGCCTCTCGGGCTCGCTGAGCTCACTTCCGGCGAGCGCGTGCGGCCGCCCGGACGCTTTTGCGTGGAGACATCCGCCGCTCCACCGGAAGTCCCTCCGCCGCGGCCGTCCCTTTCGGGCCTGGAACCGGGGAAACCAGCTTTCGCGAGGCGGGAAGCCGCATTGGGAAGTCCGGCGTCCGACTCCGGCGCCTCGGCTAGGTTGAGAGGCCTAATCGGCGAGGGCGGAACTCGCGGGCGCGGGGCGTGGTTTCCGGAGGGAGCGCCTTCCGGGTGGCTCCGGCGCGCTTCCGCCTCCTCCCGCAGCGGCGGCTCGCTTCCTTCCCGGTAACGGACTCGGCGGAGGCCCCGCCCGCGATGGCCGTGGAGGCTTGAGGGCCGGTGGCCGGAGGAGGAGGAGGAGGAGGAGGCGGCGGGATGGATCCTGTCGGGCCCGGCGGGGGCGCCGGCGGGAAGCCGAACCTGCAGATGGTCTACCAGGCCGTGCAGGCGCTCTACCACGACCCGGACCCCAGCGGCAAGGAGCGCGCCAGCCTCTGGCTCGGGGAGCTCCAGCGCTCGGTAGGAGGGAGGCCCCGGGAGGCCTCTGGGGCCTGTGGGCGAGGGAGGGAGGGGAGGGGAGGAGCGCGGCCTGAGGTCCCTCCGCCCCGGGGGGAGTGGGGGGTGGGGGAGGGGCTCCATCTGGGGAGGGGGGGCTGCTCTCCGAGGGGATCGAGGGGAGGGAGGGAGGGGCTCGCCTGTTGCAAAGGGGTGGGGGGGTAGGGTCCTCTCTCCCCTAGATGATCAGGGGGGTCGCCTCCTTCTCCCCTTCCCCCTTTCTTCTCCCCTCCCCTGGTTGAGTGGGGAGGGTCCCTCCTTTTGCAGCAGGAGACCCCCCCTCCATTCCCCATCATTTTAAAGGGAGACTCTTTTTGAGAGGCTCTCCCCTAGAGGATCGGCGTGGGAGGGGGGTCGCCTCCCCTTCCTCGTTTAAGGAGAGAAGGGGGGAAGGGTGTGGGTCTCCCCACCACTAGTTAAATGGAGAGGCTCCCTCTTTTTGCAGTAGGAGACCCCCCCCTCCATTCCCCATCATTGTAAAGGGAGACTCTTTTTGAGAGGCTCTCCCCTAGAGGATCGGCGAGGGAGGGGGGTCGCCTCCCCTTCCTCGTTTAAGGAGAGAAGGGGAGAAGGATGTGGGTCTCCCCACCACTAGTTAAATGGGGAGGGTCCCTCCTTTTGCAGTAGGAGACCCCCCCCTCCATTCTCCATCCCGATCTCCCTCCTTTCAGAGGGTTCCTCCTATTGGGGATGGGGGCTTCTCTCCTCTAGAGGATCTGGGTGGGAGGGAGGGGTTCGGCTTCTTTTCCCCTCCCTCATTCAAGGAGGGGAGAAGGACAAGGGTCTCCCCTCTTCTGGTTAAATGAGGAGGGTCCCTTCTTTTGCAGCAGGAGACCCCCTCCATTCGCCATCATTTCAAAATCAGATTCCTTTGGGGGGGGCAACTCCTCTAAAGGATTGGGGTGGATGGGAGGGGGTCGCCTGTTGCAACAGCCCCTCCTCCCGTTCCTCATTTAAGGAGGGGAGGAGAGAAGGACCAGGGTGACTAACTGGGGAGGAGGATGCCTGGGGTCCCTTTGGAACAGGTGAAACCCCCCCTGCATTCCTGATCCTGATCTCCCTCTTTTCAAAGGGGGCCTTCTTTTCGGGTAGGGGGCTTCTCCCCTTGACCCACCCCACTCCTCTAGGGGAGAGAAGCCCCCACCCCCAAAAGGAGGCCCCCTCTGAAAAGAGGGGGATCAGGAATACAGGGGGGGGGTCATCTGTTCCAAAGGAAACCCAGGCCTCCTCCCCCTCCTCCTATTTGACCAGGGGAGGTCACCCCCCTCCCCTGGCCAAATAGGAGGAGGGGGAGGAGGCCTGGGATCCTTTTGCAAGAGGCAATCCCCTCCCTTCCCCACTCCGTCCTCCCTTTCAGAAGTGGCCTCCTTTTGGGTACGGGCCCAGAGGATTAGGGTGAGTGGGTGGGATGGGGTCCCAAGGCCCCCTTCTCCTTCCCTCCGCATTTAAATAGGGGAGAGGCTCAAAGGTCTCCCCTTGCCCAGTTAAATGCAGAGGAGGAGGAGGAGGCCTGCTTCCCTTTGCAATAGTCTGTTTTCCCGAAAATAAGACATTCCCCGGATAATAGGCCCAATCGGGCTTTGGAGCACATGTGCTAAAATAAGCCCTCCCCGAAAATATTGCAACACAGCAGCAGCCAAGAGGTGACCACACTCGCCACCTCCTGCACCTCAAAAATAATAAGACCTCCCCGAAAATAAGGCCTGGTACTTATTTAAGGAGTCCAAAAAAAAGACTCTGTCTTATTTTCGGGGAAACACGGTAGGCGATCCCACCCAGTGGCCCCCAAAAGGAGACCCTGCCCCAAAGCCCCCCCCCCCTGTTGGGGAATGGTGAGGGTCTCCTGTTGCAAAGGCTTCCTCCTCTTCCGGCCTTAAATGCGGAGGGGACGGAGAAGGTGGACTCCAGCTCCTTTGCATGCAGGCCATCCGCTCAGTTCCCAACCCCCCTACCCCCCCATCCCCTTGGGGAGAAACCCTCACCCCAAAAGGAAGCTCCCTTTGAAAGGGGCTCATCCCCCAGAGTGGGTAAAGGGCAGGCCATTTGGCCATTATTCCACCCCCCCCCCAAGTTTCTCATGGGTGCCCAAGGCAGACCTGGGGGGGAATAAGAAGGAGTGTCTCTCACCTTTACACCCCAAATCACCCCTCCCAGTGCTGTTGGGGAACACCCACTCCCGCTGGAACTTTGTAAAGAGGCAGAAAGAGAAACCCATCAATCAAGATGCAAGCAGGGGGAAAAAAACCTTGCCCTTGGGTCGAAGCTCCACCCTGCAAAAGTGTTTTGAGAAGGGAAAAAAAATTATCCATCCCAGATAATTTTGTTGTAATTGCACAAGGGACGGCGGGAACCCCGGGAAATGGAAAGCGAAAGCTTGATACCCTTGAGGCAAGGAAGCTGAATGAAGAAGGGATGCCCTTCCTGGCAATTTTTTCTTTTTTTTCCCCCCTACTTGCGACTTTCTCTCTCTCCCCCCCCCCCCTCTAAAAAGAACTTTTATTTACTTTTTTTTTTTTTAAAGAAGTGCAGCTCCCGGGGGGAGGGGATACATAACTGCAGCCCTGCCAGGCATAAAAAACTGCTCTTCTGCTTTTGAGTTTAGTTTCCTTTCATTGTCATTGCACCTCGTCCAACGAAATTCAATGCCATCTTCAGGGCAGAAGGACAGTTCAGGTTGTGGTTGTTAAGGAATCATGTGTGCAGTCATTGAGCACGACATCAGGGGGGTGGCTGCTTTCCTCCTTGACTTGTGGGAAGCTGACTGTGAAGACCACAAGGGGTGGTGAGGATGTGACTGCGGGAAGCTGTGACCATTGTAACCTTGTGCCGGTTGTCCAAGTGCCCCCCCCTCCCCAATCGTGATCCTGTGATTGTGGGGGACACTGCAATAACCACAACTTCAAGGAACGGCCATTAAGTCTTCTTGTTGAGCACTGTTGCGACTTCAAAGAGTTGCCGAACCAGAGGTCACTAAGCGAGGACTACCTGTATAGTCCAAAGCCCTTCTCTGTCTTTCATGGTTGACAAAACAGAATGGAATAGAATGACAGAGTTGGAAGGGACCTTCGAGGTCTTCTAGTCCAACCCCCTGCCTAGGCAGGAAACCCTGTACAGTTCCAGACCAATGGCTATTCAACATCTTCTTTAACAACCACAACCTGAACTGTCCTTCTGCCCTGAAGATGGCATTGAATTTCGTTGGACGAGGTGCAATGACAATGAAAGGAAACTAAACTCAAAAGCAGAAGAGCAGTTT